TAAAAGATTATGCTTTGTCTTTACGTTTTTGTTTAATGGTACTATAACTTCTTACTATTCATGCTAATATTGACTTTGTTCTAAAAGCATCCAAAGTATTTAATGTAGTACAGATGTTCTAATATTGTTCATTCAAATAAAATAATCTAATGGAAACCTATTTTATGCTTACAGGTATACACATGTAGATGGCGCTCTTCTTTTAATAACACAAAAGCATTTTTCATTTTCATTTTTTCAAAATATGCTCATTACCCAATAATGATAATAATTATAAAATACTTTGTACACAGCATTTTTTAGTAATTAATTTGGAGACATGTTTTGTCAATCCAGGTTGAAAGGTATTCACTGCAACCACCTTGTGCATTTCTCTACCAGGAAAAATAGCAATATTTTGAGCCTCGGCATCTTTTTTTCCTAGCTTTTTCACATCCTTTCCTTGACTTTTTTAAAATAATATATTCTTTCTGGGGATCAACATTTCAGGTGAGCCTATCAACATTCTCTTTCAACATTCAGGCAGGTAAGAAAAATCCTTCCTTTTCATTCTGGTGTTTGAAAATTACCTTTGTTAAGTGACTCAATTTCAGTTTATTTTCTGCAAATACCAAAATCTACTTCCAATACAAATAAATAGTCTACGCTTTTTTTTTACTTAATAAGCTTACAACCACAATTCAAACAAAAAGGATAGCAATGGATATTTATAAGTGCCCAGCTATTTATTGAGAAGAAATATTAGTCTTTTGAAAGCTAGTACATTATGAAGAAAACAGTCAACGTAGTCCTTATGACATTAGTCATTCATTTTTAATGGTCTCTGCTAATTGGGCATCAGTTCTGGAAAAAGCCTCAAGTGGGTCCTTTGCAAAGTTAAGGAATTCAGAACACAATAGTTTTAAACAATGGTATGATTCAACAATGCAGAAGTATATATTTTTTCTGAATGGCAATTCATAAATAAAACCTTATGCTAAACATTTATATATTAGATACAGTCTAGGATATTTGTAAAGTGACATTTCAATCAATTGCTTCACAGGAAACTCACTCATAAGGAAGGTCCCTTCATGGCTAAATTACGGAGGATCTATTAAGAAAGAAAGAATAAACAAAAAAGAAGAGTGGTAGTATCATACTCCCAAACTTCATGGTAGATGGCAAATTTATAGTAATCAAAGTAGTTTGGTACTGGAACAAAAACAGACACACAGACCAATGGAACAGAATTGAGAGGCCAGAAATTAACCCTCACTTCTAAAGACAATCTATAACAAAGTTGCATAAACTGGCAAAAGGAGAGTTTCTTCAACAAATGGTGCTGGAAAAACTTTACAGCCACATGCAAAAGAATGGAACTAGATCACCACCTCACATCTTGGATAAAATTAACTCAAAATGGATTAAAGACATGGATATAAGACCGAAAACTGTAAAATACATTGAAGTAAAAAAATAGACAAAACATTCCAAGACTTTGGCTTCGGTGATGTCATTGGGGATTTGTTTCCAATGACAAGTGAAGTAATAGCAAATATAAATAAATGGGATTATATCAAACTAAAAAGCTTCTGCATATCAAACACACACACACACACACACACACACACACACACAGAGACACACACACAAACCCTATCATGTTTCTTTTAAACAAAAAAGACATCTTACTAAATGGAAGAAAATATTTGCATATCATACATCTGATAAAGGGCTGATATCCAAAATATTTAAAGAACTCATGCAACTCAAAAAAAAAAAAAAACAAAACAAAAACAAAAACAGTAAACCCAATCATAAAGTGCGCAGAAGAGCTAAATAGACACTTTTTCTAAGAAGACATAGAGATGGCCAATAAGCACATGAAAAAGAAATGTTTATCACAGACAAAACCAAACCAATAACAAAAAATTGACAATCTGACTGCAAAACTGAGGTAACCAGGGGGAAGGGTGGCTGGGTAAAAACGGGGGAGAGAGAGAAGGCAATGGAGCATGGTGGAAGATTATTGAGGTTTGGGTGGTGAGTATGGTGTGAAAACATACATTTGTAACATTTGAACCTAAAATCCCTAAAACAAATACAGTAATGTAAACTACTTCCCCTCAATAAATATAATTAGAGGGAAAACGACAGAGGGTATCTAGTGCCCATCATCTTTTCTGTAAATAAGTGCTTACTTAAATGTATACACTTTCTGAAGCTCAGTTTTTCTAGATATAAAATGAAAAGGGTAGCAGAAAAAATGCAGAGATCTCTTCCAGCTCCTACATCACATTGAGTCCATGTCAATGTTTTGGGTGGTGATCACAGCCCCCACCTTACCTTGAGCAATTAGAAATAAGGGTTGTGGTAACCTAACAACATGCTGAAGCAGTTCATTCAAGCTTGAGAGAGCCAATTATTAAATTTTCAGCAATTTTGTGAGCCAGTTGTTAAGCACAGGCATTATTAAAATTAAAAATGTAAACTTATTGAATAAATTATATTTTCAGGAGTAATAAGTAGTCAAAATATCCATTTAAATTATTTTATGACCTTTTACCATTGGTTATAGCCTTGAGGTCATTTACATTTATTGTCCCTGCATTGCAGAAACACTGATGATGGCAGGCTAGTGAGCATCTCTTCTTAACTCTTTATTGAGTGATGTCATGCTGGTAATTGACCATGGTGGGAGTATTTATGTCATGGAGTGACTTTTAAGTAAGACCTGGTTGTTACACACTCACACAACACTTAGATCACCAGACCAAGACCAAAAAAAAAAGGAGGCATAGATTTATGTAGAGAATCAGAGTGCCACCATAAAACAGACCACACAGATGTTCCATAGAGTAGATTCCACAAAGCATATTTTTACCTAGATGCACTTGGGTTAGATAGTCTCTTTAGCTTGATAAAAGTATGATTCCATGAGGAAGAGAAAACAGGAAGTATCTTCCACTGTTAGCACCATTCTATGAAAGTTTAGGTTAGGCCAATGGGAATCTTTGAACCAAAGCCACCTGTCAAAAGAATCTCATTTCACAGAAAAAGGCCTTTCTTGTCCCCACAACACTCACACTTCTCCTCATTCCTTCTCCATCATGGAAACTGCCACACACACAAACACCCTCTGATAAGCCATTATCTAGGGATAGTACACCTCTCTCAAAGCTGCATAATGCAAACAGCATAAGCTTTCTTTCCTTACTTTGTCTTAATCTATCCCCAGGTCAACTGGCTCGCCCCAAGCAATATCTCCAAAGTCCTCAGCTAACAACTCCCATTTACTTTTTGTCTTTCCCACTCTCCCAGCCCCATCTGCATCTTCTTTTAAGGGTCTCATGCCTCAAGGGCTTGAAGTATTACTGTATGTGAAACCTCTTCGGGCTGCCAAATTCAGTTCCTGATTTTTTTCTGGATGACTATACTGGGGAATGTGAGACTAGACCACCTTCTTCCCAGGAATCTATATGCAAGCATTCTATACAAAAGCGTTCTCAATTGTTACTAAGATAATCTACTGGAAGATGAAATCATATTGTTATTGCTTTCCTAAATTGCTACTGTAGAAATAAAATATGTATGGAATTTTGTGATAGTACAAAAATCAGGATAGAGATCAGGATATGCTGACACTAACATATAGCTTTTATAATATTCATTAAATGCTCACTTCTGATTCACCAGCCTCATCATTCATTTGATTATTGCAAATTGGCTTGTGTTACTAGCTAATTTTTCATAATAGTAATGATAGCTAACATTTGATGGTCATCTTCTGTGTGCTATATACTGAAGTGTTTTGTATATAGAAAGTTATTAAATTCCCACAAAACATTATGAAATAGGTACCATTATTTCCAACACATTATAATATAGAGACCAAGGTTCTGAGAAGTTAAGTGACTTACAAAGTCAGAGACTTTACTTCCCTACCTAAATAACTTCCTACTTCAAAATAGCTCCTACCATATATTTTTTTGTATTCCCTGCTGTGCTTGGCACTGAGCCCTCAGTAAATAAGCAGTTATTAAAAGAAGAAGCAATGTTTTATTCATATTTGATCCCTAGAATACAGTGCTATAAAGTGAATACTTCAAAATGTTTTAATTATATAAGAAAGCTTTAATAGACTACTGAGATTTAAAAAGCAAATCACATAAGATATCCTAAAACTGTTTCCAGAGGACCTGACTCTGAGTTACTAACCTGGGTTCTGGGATCCACATATGGACAAATGTTGCCTCTATCCTTCGGAACAAGTAGTCTGAAGGGAAAGCAGACACGTGCAATTACGTATAATAAAATATAATCTTTTTAAATGTATATATAAAGTGCTATGGGGCCACATATGAAAAAATACTGTTTTTCCAGTAGGATTATTTTTTTTCTTGTTAATTAACAATAGAAAGAAATATAGAAATAAACACTACTTTAAAGTATTTTATTATAAAGTTTATTGCATTAATCATTAGATTTGTTTGGTGATATAAATGACAATGTAGGTTAATACTAATGAAATTTCATCATCTTTGGAAAATAGATATTTTTAGTGCTGAAAGCATTTTTCTTTGCTACAATCAGCAATGTTTTATCTTTTTGTTTGCTACTTTGAGCCTTTAAAAAATATATATATTGCAATTTGTTCATATCAGAATGAAGCCTATATTAAATATTGAACTAGATAAGCATACCCAGGGTTAGGATAACAATATTAAGAACATACTAAAGAGCAGTTTCCTGTACATTTTTACTTAATAAATGAACATCCATTCTTGAATCACCATGTGAGTCACCCTTACTTATCTATATACATTTCCAAAACAAAAAACCTCTAAAACCAAAATATCTCTTGAGTACTTAGTTTGAACAATGAAGACATGTTAGCCAGAGACAGAATATTTATTTAGAAAAATGTAAACTTAATTCTCACTTTTCATGATTTCATCTTATTTTAAGTGTTAAGTGGACTTCTAATATTAACAAGAATTCTAAATAATATAGTGATATTCTTGTTTAACTTTTGCAATATTTATTATTTAAAAATCTTGATAATTAATAACTGCTATTGTGGCTATTTGGAGTCAAAATAACCACCTTTCATTTCTCAAAATTCATAGTACTTGTGCTAATGGATTTGGCTGTGACAGGTTACAATGGTCCAATTATAAAACTCTACATTGGCGAATACAATTTTCCATGGAGATAATGCTAAATTAAACACAATAAACTTTATTTAACACAACCATGTTAGCATAGAAGGGGAATTTATGTCATGTTCTGTAAGTAATTGTACATACTACTTATTATATAATTAACTACAAATAGCATTTTCTGTATTAAAGCAAGTGTATGACCTATACTTTGGGCCAATTTTAATTTATTTCTATATAACTACAACTAGAAGATTTTCTAATATAATAGGTAAAGAATAGTACTTTTGATGATATTCTCACCTGAATGTCTTTTGCTAGGTTTTCATGAACTTTGACCACTATGGGATATAGGGAAGAAATAATTTTTAGGGGACAAATTAATATTAATATAGGCTCAAAGGTCATGCAAATAGATCCACATGTATAAAGAGTGATATCAGAGCCTTCCCTGGTGGTGCAGGCAGTTGAGCGTAACACCATGGGGCTGTCCGCAGCATCTGCAGCAGGGGTTCGATCCCAACCTGCCAGAGAGCTGCCCACATGGTGCAGTAGACCTCTTCTGACTCGTCCGCTGCTCTCCTCAGCAGTGTATTTTAATCACTCTGCCTATTCTGTTCCCTGCTCTGTCTCTGGTGAATCCTCTCACCCTCCCGAACATCTGGCTTGTGCCCGGTTCTTGTATGCATGAATAAATAAATCTTTAAAAAAAAAAAGAGTGATATCACCATCAAATTAAATTGGACATATCTGGAAAATTTCCACCTGAAAAACACCTCCTCTTTAATTTTCATCTGACAAAAGTATTTCTCTCTTTACCCAAGTCTGTATCCAAATACCGAGAAAATTTTAACTTCTCGATGACTCCTCCCCAAATACATGTAGTTTTAACAATACCCAAGATAATATGTGTGTCCCAATGTTTAAAAAGTCCTAAGTGAATACTGATTAAGTTAGAGTCACCTCAGATACAAATGTTTCAGGACTACAGTTAGTCTGAGAAATGCTTTTGTCAGAAAGAATTCACAGGAAGAAGAGCACTGTTCTTGGGATTTCAATCTGTTGCCTGGGTGTTTTGCTTAAAGTTGTGTTGCCTCGACATGAGGCTTTCTTTTTTAAAATAGTGAAATTAGAAAAGAAGCAGTCTTTCTGTTTGTTTGGTTTTTTTTTTAATCTCCAGGAAGTAAAGAGAAAACGCAAACTTACCACAGAGCTCTGCAGAGATAATCCTTAGAAAAGGAGGAAATGTCTTATTGTTTTCTTACCAAAAAAGGACTCATTGTGGTTACTGACCCACTGGTGCCTCAATTAGATCCTATGTCCTAGAGTCAAGGGTCAGGCAGTGGATAATTGTTGAAATAAATCAATTGTTGCTAACTTGTGTTCCAGGCACTCCATATTTCCTTGAATTAATTTGGGTTTCCCTAAAAGAAACAGCCATCGAAGGAGTGAATGCTGTAAATTGTATCATCTATGTGACAAAATCACCACCCCAGGCCCAGGTATGTGACACAAGATCACAGTATATCCCAATGTAATAAGAGGCTGGGTCAATACCTTATGTATATTGCATGCTCCCTCATTCAGTCATTGCTAAGGTGGGTCCAAGGAGTAGAAACTGGCTTTCTTGCATCCTATCAGCCTTCTTATGAGACAACTATCTTGAAGTAAAAATGTTAATGTGTGAGTACACACAAAATGATCATCTGTTCTCGTTTGCTGGAAACCACAGCAGATAAATTATTAACAAAGCCTTCATTTACATTCAAACATACCCCAATTTGAATAGTCAATTACATGAGCACCCTAATGAAGGTCTTCAGTAAGATTAATCTGTGATACTTGTACGGTAACAGTTGCTCTCAACACGCCTTTGCTCTGATTTAACACAGGCTCAGGGAACCCACAGATATAAAGGAACCCCACTTTGGAATATTAAAAAGCTTCTCCATTTCAACTTTAAGTTATCATCTAGAGTTATTGTACTATTTTAGTAATAACCAATTTCAGTTGATTTGAATGATATATTTTTCATCTCCTCGCAAAAGAAAAAAGAACAATGCATTTTTATCAAGCAAAAAGTGTCAATGATACAAGAAACAATGAACATATATTTTTTCATTAACAATTCAAACACTACAAAACATAGGATATACAACTTAAAAATGGAAATACAAATTAATGAAAATGGGGTACATGTCATATTAGCAATGCAAAAGACCAGCTTAAGCATAGTTTCTCTAAACCAACAATTAATAAAAGGAAAGTGCCCTCTTCTCAAATATGCACAAAAATATTTCAGTTACTTCTAGAAAAAAATTAATCAAAACTTCTGCTAATTCTATATTACAGCATGTATTACTAAAGGCTTACAAAACTTAAGCATTTTCTTACACTTAAAATTTACAACATTTTCCTATCATTATACACTCATTCAATCCAGTCTGTCAAAAATAAAATTATCCATTTTTCTACTGATGAAATAATAATTGATATGTTATGGATCTCAAGTGGAGAATGTATATGATGGAGACAGTGATCAGAATGACGGCATAGATCTAAAGTGGGCCTAGGGTCAAACAGAGAGAAGAATCACCTCTGCATGGCACATCTGTACACTCACTCCTGTAATAATTCTAGTATTCCTAAAGTAATTCTAATTATACATTTCTTTATTTAAAAAAAAATCTAAAGTTTTCATATTTAAATTTGCTACCACTTCTAGATTTTATTCAAAGTCTGTCCAACTGTGCCACTTGGCAGAATGTTTCCTCCTGGTTTTGTATTATCCCTATACTTTTGAGTCTAGCTGAAAAAAAAAAATGAAAGGACTAATGTTCTCCTTTCCTTCTACGTGTTTAGTGATTTACACTGTCACGAAGTAGATTTTATGGTAAACTGCACAATCATAGGTACAGCTCTGCAAAGCAAATGAGCAAGAAAATATTTGAATTTTAATTTTTCAAGCAATAATACCAATATCCACCACAACCCGTTTCTCCGAAGGAGTTCTGCAAGGTCATGCTTTTAGTCAAGATTTTACAATAAGTCATGCTTCACGGGTACAGTTCTAAAACTATCAGGAATGAGAAATCACATTGATATCTCCTTCCATACCAACTGCACAAATAGGACCTACAGTCAGTGAGCTTTGAGCCTTCTGGTTCACATCCAACAACTGCCTACCAAGTAGATTAACATTCGTGTAAGGTGGCAAACTTGAGGATGGAAAACAACTGAAGTGCAGTTCTAAAAGGGGTTCCAGTGGCTACCCAGTGGTCCTTTGGTGTCATTCACTGCTGCTGCTACTGGTACTGCTGCCACCACCATCCTCTTGCTTGGGGGAGGATGAACTGTCTCGAACTGGCAGCAGGTCATAATGGCAAGGGATGTGACTGTTCTTTGGGAGGTCATATGGATCCTGGGTGAGATGTCCATTATTGCTGAATATTCCTTGGACAACACTGACTGTAGGTTCTGTGACAACCAGGGACACAGTGTATTAGCAATGGAAACGTTTTAAAAATAGAATATAGCATTTTTTTGCAAATACCAAACACACAGAAGAACTTTTTTTTTTTTTCAAGATTTATTTATTTATTTATACAAGCACTGGGTACAGTCAGAAGCACAGGAGGGTGAGAGAACTCACCAGAGCCAGAGCTGGGAGCAGAACAGGCAGACTGACAAAGTACACTGCTGAGGGAGCAGCCAGCGGCAGGAGAGGTCTGCGCGCCATGTGGGACCCTTGCCTGGCGGCCGGGGACAGAACCGGCGCTGCAGAGGCTGTGGGCAGCTTCGCAACCCAGCGCTCAACCACTGCGCCACCGGGGAGGCCCCAGAAGAACTTTTATATAAATGTAAGGAAGAATTGTTTTTCAAAACAAATGCTCTCTTGGGCTTCCCTTGTGGCTCAGGGGTTAAGTCTCAGCGCTATCAAGCTATTGCCAGGCACTGAGGCATGAATTCGATCCCCGGCCAGGGAGCTAACCCACATGGTGCAACAGACCTCTCCTGTCTCGCCCACTGCTCCCCTCAGCAGCATATTCCAGTAGCTCTGCCTGTTCTGCTCCCCACTCTGTCTCTGGTAAATCCTCTCATCACCCCGTAGCTCTGGCCTACATTCAGTTCTTGCATGCATAAATAAATAAAACAAATTTGAAACACACAAGAATAAATAAATATAAAGTATATAAATATATATTTATAAATACAAAGTATATAAATATAAAATACAAGTATAAAATAAATCTTTAAAAACACAGACTCAAATGATCTCTATTTAGTAACATAAAAGTTACTAACTCACACAAATGGTGGTCAAAAGAATGTCTATGTGGTTGGGATGAAGACATCAAGGGGCATTCAGAAACCCCGATGTAAATTATTATCTGAAAAATCCTTGCAGATAATCAACCCCTTACTCTAAAGGTGAAGAGACTGAGGTTCTCTCAGGTTAATGCAACTCATGGAAACATGTAACATGTCGTGAAACTTTAGGACTCAGGATGTAGGCTCTCAGATGTGTTTCCATCTTGGGATTATAGGATCACTCAAAGGGGAATTGTTAACAACTTTTCAAAACCTGTCTTAATATTTTAAAAATCATTATAGATATCTCTTTCCAGTTATATCGCTATGGCATACAAAGAATTACTAATAACCAGTTACTTCATTTATAAGTCTTACAGAATTTTTTAGTTTAAATTATGACTAATGAAATAGACAAAATGATTAAAAATGTAGCTCTAATATCTAGCCAATGACAGCTCTGATATGTTTTAACTTCCCCAAATGATAGCTGCAAATATCATTTGCTACAAAGTAACTTTACTTTTAAATTAAATTATCATTAATTTATGTATGTTAATTTGTATTAGGCTCACAGCTGAGGACATCATTAATGTGAGATAAATTTAAAAGTAAACTGGTTCAATTCTGCTAAAAGCAGCTGTTTTATCCACTTGAGCCATTTATTTTGACTAACTTGACACATTAGCTAATAGGACATACATGCAATTCCACAGGCATGCCAAAATACTATAGTTACAAACAAAAGATGATTGGATGGGAGATAAGGAAAATTACCTTAAATTTTCTAAATGTCATTTTCTCTGAAAAATTCATTTGACATCAATTAATATGATCACTAAAAAGATGGGTTTCATTTAAAAATTGGCCACAATTTTTAAGAAGGTTTATGTGAACTGCTATTGTATTCTCAAAGACAGTAAAATTGTTTTCAAAAAATTCCTATCTATTAGGTTCTTTTGTGCATCAGGAGGACTCACCAACTTCGTAAACATTTTTGTTGGCTGAAGTTGAGTTGTTAATCTCTGCATATGGGGAATCTCTCCGTGCTGGCGACTTCATTTCCACATAGCCACACTCTGAGTTTTTGGGGATGAGTACAGGTGGGTCTTTAATTGTGGCATAGGGGTTTTCAGAACTGCTTAGGGAGCAGTTACTTGAGTTATATTCAGAATTCTTTCCCAGGTCTGTGAAGAGAGATGAACAACATAATTTTTTTCTTGGTGATAATTTGTCTGGGAAGATTGCTTCTTTTTCTTTGCAGCTAGTTATAATAATATGTACTGAAAATAACACTAAACATTTTCCACTCATTTTGAAGAGAATTTGCTATAAAATTGTTCCTCTCTAAAATAATTTTAGATCCTCTCTAAGGTAAGTGATTATGAACTTGAATTTCATTTTGAGTATCATATCCAAATACAATTAATTCCATTCTATTTTACTATTCACTTTTAAATTTTCAAAGGCTTCAGTCAAGAAACCAGCTGTTGCTAGAAGCACAAAAAGACTGATTATCAAGGTAAGGAAGGTACTTGTGCTGTGAGGTTTTCTTGTAAAACCTCAGTACCAGCATGTGAGGTTATTACTCAAATTCCTCCTAAGAGTAGGCCTCAGTTAACAGGTAACATTGCTGATATCTTCCTATTTCCTCTGCTATTTTTTTTTCATATCTCTTTCTTCATATCAGCCACACTTCTTTCAAAGAAAATATGATTGCTTCCCCAGTAAACTAAAGTTTTGTTCTCCAAGACTTAGGCTTTAACAACATTCACTACAGTCACTCTCTTGATGCCAGTCGAACCAGTTTGTGCGTTTGTTGAAATAATTTACTATTTTAACAATTGTGTATTTTCTTGCAGTGCCACTCTTGTTCATTTAACAAATTATTTCTGTTTTTGGAATAATTTTTTTAAAGTTGTAATTCTGATAAATGTATTTCTTTGTTGAATTTATGCCATACCTTTCAAGGATTTTCCCATGTAACTTCTGTCAAGTCCAAAAGCACCTGTGATAAAGGAAGAAAAAAAGGTGCCCAGTGAGAACGGACAGCAAGAGAAAATTCATCAAATATCCCAAGGTTAAGGAGTAAGATGGTTTGAGTATCTACTATCTCCCCATTGAAAGAAGTACTCAAGGAAATAATTTTCAAGCCTTTACAGTACCAGGTCCATTGTGCCAGATGTCTCCAGTGCTTAGAATTAAAAAATCCATCTATATTATTCTGATCATTCTCCTACTCATTTATAGTGACTGTGAGAAAAGTGATCAGTTATGTATAGAAACTGAGACACACATGAATTAGTACACTTGATTCAAGGTTGCTCAGTGGAAGGGACCCATTCAGGATCAGAACTTAAATAAAAGAAGTAAATTTCAAAGCATATTAGCCATATAACTTTGGGCAAGATAGTTGATTTTCTGAATTCTATAATGAGAAAAACAAAACCTGCCTTTCAAGGCTTCACAGTGGTTAAGTTAATAGAGTTTATATAAAGAGTTTGTAAACTCCAAAGTGCCAAAGATTTGAAAGATGTCCCAATGACTGCAACACTTAAGGTATTATAATATCTTCAGCTTTAGTCTATCATCTGTAAGCATTCTAAGGCATTTTCAGTGATATTTTAAAGGAATATTATGGACTTAGGTAAAAAAAAAAAGTAATGACTGATGATGAACATTCAAGTAATATGATAATGGTGAGGGCGTGAACTCCCTGAAACTCTGTATTTTTCTTTTTGATGTTAAATTCAATTTCCAATGGTGATATCCCATCGAGACACACTTTTGTGGAGAAAAGAGGGAGAATACCCTAACGGGAGCAGGCGTGTCTAATTTCAATCATTGTGGGGACAGGAAATAGGAACATTTTCCTTTGTTAGGCACCAGCTTGTGGGCCTGGGTTGTCAAGCTTAGCCAAGATCCCAGCTGATGAGAAAGGCAGAGAGTTTCGCAGGCAGGCAGAATAAAAGGGTGTGTGGTAAAGAATTACTTTGCCAAAGCAAGATCCTTTGTTCCTGGGAGGCGATGTCTAAGTCCTGGGAATGTCCTGCCTGATCAGAGTGTTTTTATTTTCCAGGGAGGCCTACGACTAGCAAAGTGATATAAGGGAGGGAGTTTGGTCAGTTGGTATCAATTCCATTTCCAGACAGGCTGGAGAGTAAAAGTCAATCACATAGGTGATCAACTACATCCATGTGACCAAGTCTGAGGTGAGTTTCCCTGGTTGGCAGTATTCTATATTTTTGTTACCATTTTTTGCCAGAAAAAGTTAGCACTTCCCATGATTACTCTGGAAAGGACAACTAGAAGTTTTGTTTTTGAATTTTCCTGGACTCTGCCCCTGTGTCTCTTCTCCTGACTGGTTGTAATGTGAACCCCTTTGTTGAGATAAATTGTTACCATGATTTTAACAGTTTTTCAGTGAGTTCTGTATATTTGTCTAGCAAATTATTAATCCTGAGCATCATCTTTGTGATCTTAACTTGTAGATAGTATCCGAACAAAGGGTCTTCTTGGGGATTCTCCCACTCTTAAAGGGACCCGTAAAAGTGGACAGGGCCTCTAGCCTCTGAGAGCTGCCTTACTAAAGAACTCTATGTTATTGTTTGTCAAAGTCCACTGAATATCTCCATATTATAGCAATCTCTTGTTAAAAACCCAATGTGGGGTCTCCCTGGTGGCACAGGTGGTTGAGCATAGCACTGTGAAGCTGTCTGCAGCCTCTGCAGTGCAGGTTCCATCCCAGCTGGCCATGGAGATACCCACATGGTGTGGCAGACCTCTCCTGTCTCACCTGCTACTCCCCTCAGCAGTGTATTTCAGTCTGCCTGTTCTGTTCCCCCTCTGTCTCTGGTGAATCCTCTCACTCTCCCACACATCTAGCCTGTACCCCAGTTCTCATGTGCATGAATAAATAAAATCTTTTAAAAAAAAAACAACAAGAAAAACCCAATGTGGTTTTAGCTATGTTAAGCCAAAGCCTTATAGAAAGGAAAAGCATGGGGTGGATAGTACATTAGGGACAAAGAGTTGGGACTATGAGACCAGCCACCTTGCAAATTCTCTTTTTATTGCCTTGGAGGATCAGAGCTCTGTTTTTAAAAGGGTGTGTACAGGTAGGTTTCCTCATTAACACCCATATGTCCTAAATCCCTGGACAGGTGTTTTTAAGTGCTCGGTTTAATCTAATTTACACAATGAGCCAGAAGAGAATCATTTTCCCTATTTTACAAATGAACAAATCAGGGCTCACAGGGAAATGATTGGCCCAGAGTCATGTAACAGAAGCAGGAATTGATCTCAGGCCTTTTGTATCAAGTTCAGAGTTCTTTCTGCCAACATCACAACAATTTTTCCATCATTTAAGAGCCCTACACACCTCATCATCCATAATGGGCTTCACTCTGCTCTTTGTAAGGAAGGACTTTTTCTGGGCAACAATTTTAAAGGCTCATTAAATTCAGAATTTCTCTTGAATGGGAATTAACCAAGGAGATCCAGAATTTCCAGCCAAGATTCTATGTTCCCCTGGGTATAATTGAGGTAGAAAATAGAAGAGTTCATGTGACCACTGTGGGGAGCTATGTGTTCTGGAGTTCGAACAAATTACAGGAGATGAAGGTTGAATGAGAAACTTTTCTTGTATTTATGCCAAGCAGTAGTGTACAGAGTATCATTCATGTACTTTTAGAACTAAATTATTAATGTAATTTGGTCTTTAAAAGATTTCCCAATGTTAAATGGCTTTATTAAGATTATGATGAATCTGATATAGTGATACACAATTTTACTATGTTTAGATATACACATCCTATGGATAGATTAATGTAGATAAGTTAAGAATTTGTACCCATTTTCTTACTTAGACATTTGCATTTCTATAGTAAGAGAGGCTGCCAGAGCCTACAAGGATTGGTTCCTATATCTGATTCAGGTGAATTGACATATAAGGTGTTCACAGAAGGATCAGAGGGTAACAGTCAAAAGACAACCTTTGAGACCTGGCTTTACTCTCTTCCTTGCATAACTCTTAGACAAGAAAGCTCACCTCTCTGTGCTTCCCAGTGTACTCCTATATAAAACAAGATTCATGGAAAAGTCTGCCCAGCAGGATGACCAGATTTAACAAATGAAAACACAGGAAGACCAGTTAAATTTGAATTTCAGATAAACCACAATTTTTAATTTAAATTATGGTTCAGGTAGTAAAAAAAAAAAAATTGTTTGCTTATCCAAATATCAACTTTTGAGCCTCCTGGCAATTTCCCTCCCTCCAAATAAATACGTATGAAAGGGTTTGATGCCCCAAGGCATCTCACACCTTGCTTACTTTATCTCCAAGCTCCTGCCTGAAAATAAGGTGCGCATGCTTACAGATGGGGTTCACAGCAGTTCTTTAACTGAGGTGTAGGAATCCCCATCAACTTCACACAAGGGCCAAGAGACCGAAACTATTCTCATAGTAACACAACAATATTGTCTTCGTCTTTCACTTTCATTGTCTTTCAAGTGTTTTCCAGGAGCTCTACCAAGCGTGACTCATTACTGAATGAATGTAGAAGCAGATATGACAATCCACTATGCTCTATTAAGCCAGATGTTACAGAGATTTTATAAACTTTTTTTTTAAAAGATTTATTTATTTGTTTATACAAGCACTGGGTACATTCAGAAGCACGGGAGCATGAGAGAATTCACCAGAGCCAGAGGGGAGAGCAGAACAGGCAGACTGACGAAATACACTGCTGAGGGGAGCAGCGGGCAGCAGGAGAAGTCTGCGCGCCATGTGGGACCCTAGCCCGGTGGCCGGGGATGGAACCAGCGCTGTAGAGGCTGCGGGCAGCTTTGCAACCCTGCGCTCAACCACTGCGCCACCAGGGAGGCCCTATTTTATAAATGTTTAAGACATAACTACTCTTCTTATGATTTATTTGTGAAGAAAATGTACTTGTTTTTCATAAAAATGCATTTTATGTTCTCATGAAATGAGATTTTTGTTATGATAAATATATTTTTGTTATTATAAGTACATTTAAAACAATGATTTTAAATGCTCTTAGTTTTAATTTGTAATATGGTAAAGATCCATAGGTATAATTCATAAGGCTCTCTGGGACCCTTGATAACTTTAAAGAATGTGAAAGGGGTCCTGATTCCAAAACCTCTGTGAGACACTGACCTGTTATATTCCTGTTGATCTCTCACTTCCTCACCTAAAATAGGAAATGGGCCTCAAATGCAAGTACCTCATATTAAAAGAGAACACAAAGAGGAGTGCAAGATAACTAGGCCCAAATCCCAGCTCTACCACTTGGTAGAGCTGGAGACCTTGCCAAAGTGACAACCCTTTTTATGATTTAGTCTCTCAACTGTAACATGGAGATGATGATGATGATGATAATGATGATGATGATGATGATAGATTTAGGTCATTATATGTAGAGTTAGAAAATAGGTTAGGGCCTCCCTGGTGGCGCAAGGGGTTAAGATGTAACCTATGAAGCTGTCTGCAGCCTCTGCAGCACGAGTTCAATCCCCCAGCTGGCCAGGGAGCTACCCACATGGCGCAGCAGACCTCTCCTGACTTGCCCGCTGCTCCTCTCAGCAGTGTATTTCAGTAGATCTGCCTGTTCTGCTCCCCACTCTGTCTCTGGTGAATCCTCTCACCCCCCCACATAAACCTTAAAAAAAAAAAGAAAAGAAGTTACAAGCAGGCAGAGATTCCTGTCACTTTTTATCCATTCCTGACACATACTAAGATCTCAATAAGTGTTTGTTGAGTAAATTAAACTTTAGAAATGTAATAAGCCTTATAGAGGTATTAAGTATAATTCTCTTGTTTTAGTTTTGATGCATATTTTCCTTAGATTGCTTTGGCACAGACAAATCTAGGATAGCAGTGCCCTGTTGATGACAGAGAACGAAGAACTTGCCGAGCTCGTTGAGGTAGCCACCATGTTTCCAGTCTGCGGGCAGAGTACCCGTGCAGTCCACCAGAGGACCCCTCTTTCCTGGATTCACATTTTTCAGATTCACAAATAGTTGATTGTTTTTTGACTGTTAAAAAATATAAATAATAAAAGATTAAAAAGGAGAACATAATATGGAGGAGCGCAGTGTAACTGATCTGGGGAAAGCAAGTTCATGGCATGTGTCTAGGGCTGGTCCTTACGGGAAAGTGAGTCCAGTTAAGGGACAAGGGTGACAGTTTCTGACTTGGTGGGATGAGGGGGCAGCAGGAGTACTTGTCAAACACAGTCTGATTTGTATGAGTCACTAGCAACTTTGTGCAGTTTTCTTAACTGCAAAATGAGATAAGATGATCTACTTTGCTTCCCGCCCTGAATGTGTATGAGAACAAATGCAATGATGAATATGACAGTCTCCTGAGGATGTGAAGTGCTATTTAACTATGAGGCACTATAATTAAAATCCAGCTGCATTAATTTAATTGCAACTGCATTGATTTAATTAGCTTGGTTTTCTTCTAATTGAGAGCTGGAATTAGACAATAGGGATTGGACATATAATTTGGGGTGCAATTGAAAAGGAGAAATGTTTGGGATGTCAGAGCATGGGATGAGTTGGGGTTATGGCAGGAGTAGCCCCGGATCCAAACAGCCCTGGATCTCCAACCTCTTCAAGATAATGATTACTCTTGATTCACAGGACTGCTGTGGGTTTATATTTGTAAAATAATTACAATTGCTGGGCATACAGTATCCATTTGATTATTTTTGACCTACAAAATTCAACTGCAAGTGGTTCAACCTAAACAAATGCATGTCACTGTAGTTGCTATGAAACAAGGGCCAGGAAAGAGCACTAGAAGACAGGTGCCTAGAAAAGATAAACTTGGCAAGTTTACCCAGGACTGGATCTTCTATAGGTCAACTATGAGACATTATTTTAAAACTTCATGCAATGTTAAAAACATTTTCCTAAAGAGGTATAATGGAAATAGTCCTAGGTAAAGCAATGGGGAGACTCTGACTCACGTTGCAGCTGCCTCACTCACTAGCTGCCTGGCTGTGTTTAGAAAAGACTTAAACTCCCCATTACTCAGGGTGTGTTTTGTTTTTGTCAGTAAGCTTGAGATGCTAATATACAAGACTGTGTAGAATAAATGAGATGACATATATAGAGTACCAAGAGCAGCATCTGGCACACAGCAGCCCTCAAAACATGCTTGTTTCTTCCTCTGCCCCTACCAACCTTCAAAGACTTGAGCATTTTCTCTCACCTTTGCAATGGTGATCCTGTCCCTGTTGTTGACATGTGGGGAAGTGGCACACTGGGTGAGTGTGTGGTAACTGGGATTGGTGAAGTAATGGCTGTTAGCATTTCCACCATTGCTGTGAGGCAGGGTTTCTGCAAGATGAGAGGCAATGGTTAAGATGGTAGGCTCCCCTAATAGGTGTGGAAAAAGGGAAGCAAAACAGTAAGAACAAATGTTTGGACGAGTTCCATATCACAAGCTGGGCAGAATGCCTCCTGCCTGGAATACTCAGCAAAGCATCTAGAAACAGCAGGCATCTGCTTTCCCACTTGCCTCCTTGAAAAGTATGATAATATCCACAAATAACTGCTCTTTGCTTTGGGGCTTGTACAAGCTGGGAAGACATGGTTTCAAAGCAACTTCTACTATAAATTTCCTTTCACTTTAAAAAACACTTGTGTTCTTGATGCGATATTCTGTAGTAAAAATGTAAATGCTAGTAAAAACTAAGTAAATCAGCTACTATACATTTTCCCCAGAATCACTTTTCATCAACATGTAGCCCACCTGAACACCTTCAATATTATCCCCAAATTAGTTTTTTAAGTTTCCAAATTCCCCAGCTTAGGTGATTACTTCTGATAATTGAGTGTGTTACTTATAAAATTTACTTTTACAGGGACTTGTATTAGAAAGGCTCAGGGGCCTCCCCGGTGGTGCAGTGGTGGAGGGCTGGGCTGCGAAGCTGCCCGCAGCCTCTACAGCGCCAGTCGATCCCCGGCCACCGGGTGAGGGTCCCACATGGCGCGCAGACCTCTCCTGCTGCCCCCTGCTCCCCTCAGCAGTGTACTTCGTCAGTCTGCCTGCTCTGCTCTCCCCTCTGGCTCTGTTGAATTCTCTCACCCTCCCGCGCTCTGACTGTACCCAGTGCTTGTATAAATAAATAATAAATAAATCTTAAAAAAAAAAAAAAAGGAAGACTCAGAAGAAGAGTTTTCTTTAAAAAACTGCTTTTGTTTAGGTTTTCTAAACTATAATAAAGAAAAAATCAAAATCAACAAGGAACTATAAACCAGAGACACACTGCGGGGGGGAGGAGAGGTGGGGAGAGGAGGGATTGGGGTCAAAATTAAGGGGGTGCAATTGTATGGGGACTATAACCAAGATGAAAATGCATACATTGTGCAAAAATGAAGAATGATGTAAGAAATATATAAAAAATTAAAAAAAAAACCCAAAAAAAACCCAAAAAAACTGCCTTTGTTCTTGTTAAGACCAAAAAGCCGTTTCTAATAATCTTTGGTTGCTATTTAGTTAATAACTCATGTGGGCTCAGGGACTGCTGGAAGGCACTATGGAAAGAACCCAAGGGCAGAGACAGGAGACCAGGTCCTGGTCTCTCATCTGCTCCATAACTTTGGTAAAGTGATCACCACTGTCTCCCCTCTCCACTGCCCCCCATGTATGACAAAGGCTTGGGACTGGGTGCCCAGCAAAGCTTCTTCCTGGTTAAAACCCACGAAGTCCAAAGCAACTACCCAATGTAAGCAGTTTTAAAAGCCTCACAGAATCCAACAGTGATGAGTTTTATTACTGTGAGCATAGGAAAAACATCTTTAAAAACACTTTTTCAGGGCCTCCCCGGTGGTGCAGTGGTTGAGCGCTGGGTTGCGAAGCTGCCCGCAGCCTTTGCAGTGCTGGTTCGATCCCTGGCTGCTCCCCGGCCACCGGAGGAGGGTCCCGTATGGCGCGCAGACCTCTCCTGCCGCCCGCTGCTCCCCTCAGCAGTGTACTTCGGTCCTTCTGCCTGCTCTGCTCCCTGCTCTGGCTCTGGTGAATTCTCTCACCCTCCCGCGCTTCTGACTGTACCCAGTGCTTGTATAAATAAATAGATAAATCTTTAAAAAAAAACAAACACTTTTTCAAAGAACATTTTCTTAAGGCTAATTGACAGTAACAGCAGCAGCACAGGCAAATACCTGGTTTCAAAGAATCAGGAAACCTTACTTTTCAAGGTGTGAAATATCTCTAACGACTCTAGTCTCACCTGAAATGGCATAGTCTGCATTCATGACCCTCATAGCAGGGGTATAGGTAACTGCTGGCATGCTTGATTCCTTTCCCTTCTGCTTGTGTCTATAAATAATGAACAACGCCAGGAGGAAGAGAACAACTAGGACAAGAATGATGATGCCTGCAATGGCCCCGATCTGGTAGGAATCAGCAGGCAGAGCCGTACTGGTTCGGCTTAGGCTGTTCAGATTTCCAACTATTATTACACCAGCTAGAAAAAGGAGAAAAAGGGATGTGAATAAGGATGACAATGTACTGGATAAATGTTTGATCTCTATTTACAAGAATCTCCTACTGTGCTAATGCCTGGATATTTTCAGTTCATGAAATGTTAACTTTTGGAAATAGCAGGAAGGGAAAAAAAATCCTCATTTTCAGATGTTGACTTGTTTGTACCCAGAAAAAGTCGGTTCTAAACCTCAAAAAAGAGATACGATTTTCTGAATCCAGAGGTAGCAGGGTTTGGGTGCTTCTGATATATTTCAGATTAAACACTTAGATGAGAAATTAATTGAGGGTAATAATTTACCTAACTTTTGTTGTAACCTATTTATTATCCACTATTAAGCCCATCAAGGGCTAACTCCTAAATATCTCAACTGCCTAACATAATTAATGTCTATCTTTAGCATTTCTAATAATAATTTTCCTTTCAAGCAAAAATAACCCCATTATAAATCTAGCCCAAGATCAAGATCTACACTACACTAATTTCAACAGGTGTTTTACCTCAGAAGATATTGTTATATACCTGATAACATCATCCTAAAACTATACCCATTAAATTAAAAATTCAGCTTTATATAGTTCTTCCTCATGTTCCCTTCAGTGAGAAAGCTAAAGATATGGATTGAGTTAAGAAACCTGGCATTAAAAAAAAAAAAAAAGCCCAAAACAAAAAACAAACCTGATACAGGTATTTGAACTTTCTCTTAAGCTCTTAGGCTACAGTTTCACTATCTATAAATGAGGAAACTGACCTCAAAGAAGGTAATTCAGTTCAAATGTCCCTATGACTTTGTGATTCTGAATGCTAGACCTGAAAAGTGGAACACTGTGAGTGTCATGCCATTTCAAAGCATTTGTAATAGTGACGTGATTGTGGAATTTATCCTATTGTTATGACAGTCAAATATTAATTGTGAGCAATAAAAGTTTTGTTACAAAAGAAAATAAGAATGCCTACGTGGCCTACAGTTTAACTCGCCTAGAACACTATAAAGTTTCTAAAGCTCTTTGTCCATATGCTTTTTACCAATGAAAAGCATCGCATACAGTAGTACTCTCTGAGGCCATGTTTCAGAACCACCAAAAGAACTTTCTCAAATGTTCCAGTGACCCCAGAATCAGACTTGGCCAAGTGGACACACACTTTAGTTAAAAACCACAGGCACAATGGGCCTCCACTGGTGGCGCAAAAAACACAGGCACAAGCTTATTAAGAAGGTAAACATATCCCTTCTCTATGACCCCATTATTTACTCCTATGAATTGACCCTACAGAAATAAAAGCATATGCCTAATAAAAAACTTGATACGCTATGGTTCATAGCAGTTTTATCTTCAATACCCCAAACAGGAAACAATCCAAATGTCCATCACCAGGTGAATGGGTAAATGAATGTGATATATTCACACAATGGATTACTCTGCAGCAACAAACAGAACAGGACAACTGATATATACAACATGGTTCAATCTCAAAATAATTATGGTGAGCAAACAAAATTAGACAAGAGTACAGTATGATTCCATTTATTTGAAATTTAAAAAATGCATACTAATTTATAGTGACAGAAAGTAGAACAGTGATGGTCTGGGGCTTAAAGGGCAATAATGGCAAACAGTAAACTTTTGGGGGTGATGAATGTATTTATTATCTTTATCGTGGTGATGACTTCATGTCATAAACATATGTCAGATTTTATCAAATTGTATACTTTGTGTTGTATATATGTGCTATGTATATTTTATTATATACATATGTTTACACATGACTGCATAGTACATAATATATAACAGTATAATTATAGCATATAATTATATTTAAAGAATGATTTATAAAGAATAATAATTTATACATATAAATCATATAAATTTATATACATATAAATCATTATTTTTTATCTCAATAAAGTTGTAGTCACATTGGAAAGCTCATGCATTTTGGAACCAGAAAAGCTTGGCATCAAAGCCCAGACATATTCTGCATATTAGCTATATGACTTTGGGAAAAGTACTCAGCCTCTCTGAACTTGAATTTCCTCTTCATCTGTAAGATGGCAACAATAAGGCAGTCATCTGACAACTAAATAAATAAGCAGCTACACTTTGCAAAGTCATGATGAGGATTATATGTCATGACGGCAGAGAACATAATGTTGAGAGGTAGGCAGTCACACAACACAAGGAAATTCTATTTACTAGGCCCTTACCTTGATCACATCGTGCCCCCTTCCATCCTGGGCTGCAATAACAGGTCCCAGTGATGTGGTCACAAGTAGAGTTGTTCAGACAGTCACATATCTGGCGACAGCCATAGCCATATGTACCTGCAGGGCACTCTGAGAGGAGAGGAGAGTTCAATAGGGCTCTCCAGTTTTGGAAATGTGGGGCCAGGTTGTCTCTTTCAGTATGTGCTGTATATGGAGGGGTTTAGTCCTGTTCAGGCAGATTTGTACCACCCAGCATTCCCTGAACCAAGATGGGACTCAGAGGTCAGGTATCACAGGCTCGAAGACTAAGCTCTTCATTATGGCTTCTGACACTTTTGGATTTTGGATTTTGGCACACCCTCCCTGATGGGTGTACCCAGTCAGGGAGTACCCACAGGTTTATCCTGTGGGATCCTAAAACAACTGATGATGGGGAATTTGAGATGACTCCACCAGACAGAACTGTGGAATGGGAAGGGAGTAGAACAAAAAGTACAAGCTAGAAATGTTTCCTTAAGAACATGTATATTGGGCCTCCCTGGTGGCGCAGGAGGTTGAGCACAGTGCTGGGAAGTTGTCCACAGCCTCTGCAGCATGGATTCGATTCTGGCCAGGGAGATATCCACATGGCGCGGCAGACCTCAGCAATGTATTTCAGCCAGTCTGCCTGTCCTGTTCCCTGCTCTGTCTCTGGTGAATCCTCTCACCTTCCCACACATCTGGCCTGTACCTGGTTCTTGTATGCATGAATAAATAAATCTTAAAAATAAAAGAACATGTATATCTTACTGTTGGCCCAGAAATCCTTCCACAGGGACATTTTGACCCGCATTAGCTAGGGATAGGAGAAAAGGGAGGGGAGCATGTTTTGGAATTTCTAGATCAGAACTTCAATTACAACAGAACGGTTCATAATTTAGATTTGCAGGTTGTAGGTGGAGAGAAAATAGTGGAACTTTAATGAGGTCATCTTAGTAAAAGTTGGGCATGAATTTTAAATAGTTCAGGCATGTTGAGCCTAAAATCAAGAAAAAATACAGATGTTTTTTGAAAAGTGAGCAGCAGGGGGCGATGTGCCACTATTAGAATTCTCTGTCAAACCCAGAGTTTCTGTTTACAAAGGAGCATTGGAAGAATTCTCCAATAATCGGGACACTTTAAATTTGATGTTCAGAGTAGTGTTGGAAGCACTTTTATTTGGGGGAGGGGTAAGAACACAGAGGGGAGGAAGCATAATGGTCTATGATGGTGGAATATGGGGGAATTGGTGGTAGGCACACTATGATGGTAATACCTGATGGGGGTATCTCAATATTACCTCAATTTAAAATTAAGCAAATAGGGGTCCTCCTGGTGGTGCAAGAGGTTAAGCGTCAGCACTATAAAGCTAACGGCAGCCACTGCAGCATGAGTTTGATCATGGCACAGCAGACCTCTCCTGACTTGCCTGCTGTTCCCCTCAGCAGTGTATTTCAGTCAATCCGCCTGTTCTGTTCCCCATTCTGACTCTGGTGAATCCTCTCACCCCCCTGTACCTCTGGCCTGTACCCCAGTTCTTGTATGCATGAATTAATAAATCTTTAAAAAATAAATAAAATTAAGCAAATGAATGAATGAATAAATGAATGAATGAGTCTATTACTTAATAAGACCATAACTAGCTGACATTTAAGCTAAAAACAGCTTACAGCCTATTCTGGTTTCTATGTATACACACATACTTTTTAGACATTTTACCCACCTACACACATATTATTTACACAAAGAGACACTGTACAAATGGGCAGATGTGTGACTTGGTATATGTTTCAAGATTAAGTGAACTTGCAGTGCAGATCTAAAATTGGGCTGTCTCTGTCCAAGCTGGTTGTCACTCTTGGTTATATTTGTTAGACAGGAGGATATAAAAATATTTTAATGTTTAACTTTCAAGAGTGGGACAACCTGGCTGTCCAGGGGTGATGTGAAGGTGCCTGTGCGTGAAGGGAGTGTGATGCTTTATTACTAGTGTACTGGAGGCTGATCAACCTTTCCAAGACACACTGCTCTTCCAGCCATGCGTCCTTCCCCACAGTGCAGCCTCTGGTGAGTGGGAAATGTCCTGCACACTTTCTTGCCATTTACAATAAGAAGTGAGTACCTCATAGAGCTCTAAGACCTTGCTTATTCACCTTAAATACTGACTGAAAAGTTGTAGAGGAAAAGGACAATGAACCAATTTGAAATACTCAGTCTAGGACTAATGTTCTTATAGCCCTTTTCTTATAGCTAATAGGGTAGAAATGGAAAAACAGGATGGGTCATTTTCCAAGAGTGGAATTTTTACAAAGCAAAGTTTTAAAGCAATATGCTGTCTTGAAAGTTGGTAAAACTAAAATAGGAGTTGTTAGTGGAAACGGTATAAACATATTCTGTAGTGTAGCCCGTTGAAAGTCTATGTGGATTTGTTTCCTCACCTACAGTGGGGCAGGCCCTGGGTTCGGAGCCCTCTCCCCACCACTGAGACCCTGGAGGCCTCTGCCCAGGAAGAGAGTTTGGCTGGTTCCTTTAAAACCCTGAGCAAACCTTGTTCCAAAAATAAGAAAGAGGAAGAATGAGCCAGGATGAACAGATGGAAAACTTGAATTCTGTCTTCATCCTTATAGCCATGCCCCCTCCACCCAGAGCTCTGAGTAATTACCCAGAAGAATTTCGAGGGTAAAACCGCCAGCAAGTATCCCCAAGCAGCCAGGTCTCTGGGAGGGAAAGTCAACAGAGCTGACGAGTGATTAGCCATCAACTCAAACAACTTAAAAGTTGTGGGTTCTGCCATCGTGTGTTCAGGTATCTAGGAAAATTGATTCTAGGTGAACATGTAGTGTTCTAGAGATAGCGTGTCTTCATACTTACTCTGCTCACAGTGCTTCCCCATGAACCCGGTGCGGCAAGTACACTGTCCGGAGATGTGGTCACAGTCAGCTCCGTTTTGGCACTGGCATATCAAGGCACAGTCCTTCCCATAAAACCCCAGAGGACATCCTGTGTGAGGAGAAAGGACAGCAGGAGTCAAGAGGCTGCTGAGGAGAGACAGCTCGTGTCTCCAACACATTTGTCTTTAAACTTGAAGGACTGTTAGAGAGTGACCAAGACAAGAGTACATGGCTTAGCTCAAGTCACAAAGATTTCTCAGATCCCAAGACAGGCTTCTTGCAAGGAGGTTGTGATTCATAAGCAGGAGGCAGAACAGTTGCATACCTTCCAGTTGAACTATGACTGTAATAGTAACTCTGTAGCCCTGGAAACAAGACTAAAGTCTTCTAACAAAGCATCCCTTCAAATCCTCAGAGTATGAGGTACTTCCTTTCATTCTTTCCCTCAACTCTTAGAATCCAGGATTCAGATTCCATGGATTGAAAACAGTGCGTTATGTTAAAATTACCTTGATGTTCTTACTCAGTACAGAAAGTCTTCTGTATCCATTACTTACTAAGATAATATTATCTCCTTCACCAAAGGTGTGTGGTAGAATGCTGAATTTCAAAAAACCCTGCACTTTACAGGTGCTTTAAAAAAAAATTAACAAGTCTTACAAAAATTAGCAAGTCTTACAAAAAAAAATTAACAAGTCTTACAATAGCTAAGCTTTGGAAACAACCCAAATGCCCAAAACTAGATGACTGGATCAAGAAGATGTGGTACATATACACCATGGAATATTACTCAGCATTCAAAAAAGATAAACACATGCAATTTGCAGCAACATGGATGGAGCTGGAAGGGATCATGCTCAGCGAAATAAGCCAGAAAGAAAAAGAAAAAATACTGGATTGTCTCACTCATAGCAGGAATCTAGAAAACTTAAATAAGTGACCAGGAAAAAGAATAACTATAAGAAAGAAAATGTCAAAATCAACAAACAACTATGAACCAGAGACACTCTATGGGGGGTGGGGGGCGGGGAAAGGAGGGGTTGGGGTCAAAATAAGGGGGTTGTAATTTTATGGGGAACATAAAAATAAAATTTAAATAAATAAATAAAAATTAAAAAAATTAACAAGTCTTCTCACTGCTGCACAATTTTCAAGACCCAGATGCCTGGATCCTTGGACCAAAGATGTTTACAAGCTCTATTGGTTTTCTTGGGCCAGCAGCTGCCCTACAAGGGTATTCAGGGCTCATTGGCATTATGAAAGTTTCAATAGTTGGGGACTGTTCCCCAGAATCACAGGTGTCTTTTATTTTTCCTTTTTATAGTGAGGTTTTAAGGAATGCTCAAGTTTCAATAAACAGAGGCTTAACAAAGACACCAGCCCCCAAACACCCACCATTGTCATATGTTTATTTATGCCAGGTTCTTTTCATACATACTCTCATTGACTCTTTACAGTAGCCTGGAAATGCAGGGAGAATATTCTTGACCTCTAGATGGGAAGTGAGCCCTGAGTGCCCTAAGTCACACACTTGCAAATGGCAGCGGCAGGGCCACTATGCAAATGCAGGGAGGTCTGGTTCCAGTTCCCAGGTGTTTCTTCCCACTGTATATATTATGCTACTTCTACTGAAAATGTTCCCCTGTTTAAAACAGGCCCTAATTTTGGATTTTTTAAAGATTTATTTATTTATGCATACAAGAACTGGGGTACAGGCCAGAGATGCGGGGGGTGAGGATTCACCAGAGACAGAGTGGAGAACAGAACAGGCAGACTGAAATAGACTGCTGAGGGGAGCAGTGGGAGAGACAGGAGAGGTCTGCTGCGCCATGTGGGTAGCTCCCTGGTTGGCTGGGGATCGAACTCATGCTGCAGAGGCTGCGGCTAGCTGCACAGTACTGTGCTTAACCCCTTGCACCAGCAGGGAGGCCCTAATTTTGGAATTTAAGGAGTTTAGAAACTCCTATATATACAGGCATACCTTGTTTTATTATGCTTTGCTATATTGGGCTTTGCAAATTTTGGGTTTTTTTTTTTTTGTATAAAAGTGAAACTACACTTTGAAGGTTTCTGGCAATATGTCTATTTTTTAAAAGAAATAATGTTATTTCACACTTAATAAACTACATTATAATGTAAATATAAATTTTAATGCACCTGGACACCAAAAACTTGACTCGCTTTTTTGTGATGTTTTCCTGTGTATAATCTCTGCAGAATATGGTTAGAAAAAAACCTCTTTCCTTGCCAATTTCCACCTTCTTGCCACAGTTTAGGGTATATACTGCCTTCTAGAAATTCTAAAAGATTGGTTCAGGCTTTTCCCTAATTACATTTTCTAATTAGTATGAAACACGATTACCTAATTTCTGACCCTATCTTTCTTCTTCAGCTCATTTCTTTGATTTAAAAGTATATATTATTAATAAGGATAACCAGAATACATGTTTTCCTGTCTTATCTCCTCTATCCAGTCAAAGGCAAGAGGGCACAGAACAATCCTTTTTTCCAATGGTGCTGAGCTGTGGAGTACTTTGCAATTTATATCCTATGATGTTCAAAGCCTCATGGAAATAAAAGCTGTTAGGATATTGTGGGGGAAGAAAGGAAAACAAACAGTAGTTCTTAAAACATAGTCCTATACTGGCATCAGCATGCACAAAGTTGTCAGAAATGTGAATTCTCAAACCCTAGCCCCAGTCCTATGAAATCAGACACTGCGGGAGTGGGTCCAGCAGTTTTTCAAGCCCTCCAGGTGACTTCAAAATTCTCTAAAGTTTGAGAACCACTGAATTCTGTTCTCCAAGATCATATACTAAGTTAGACTGTGAAGCTTCACTCCCTTTCTAATTGCTGTTACTTATCCTAACCTTTGTGTTGTTAAAATAAATGAGGGCATTTGATCCATATAAATAGGGTCTGGTGAAAGGAGAGAGGAGAAAGAACAGTGCACCTCCACCTATAGAGCATTGCTCCACCTCAGTGTCCTGACATCATGCAGAGACAGAAACCTTGGAGTGTGGAAGCTGTTAGCCACCTGGATTCCTACACGTCTCTGGGCAGATGCAACATTAACGTCAGGGACCTTTAGTGAGCTCATCTCCTGCGTGAAAAACATGAGGTTGTTTCTTCTTGGGGTTTGCCCCCCTGGGTGAGCCTCAGCAGGCCAGTAGCTTACTCTGTGTGCAGTAGAGACCTGTCCAGCCAGGAGTGCATTTACATTCCCCGTCATAGGCACTGCAGAAGGCTCCATTGTGGCAGTTGCACGTGTGGATGCAGTTTGGGCCCCAGTGGGCAGGTGGACAAGCTGAAAGCACAACACGAATGGAGAGGTCCGTCAGAGCTCTGAGAGCAGCACCGAGCAGAGAGAATTCCAACCACCCTTCTCGTCTCTTTTTCGTGAGAAGTTAGTGGTGTGTGCATGAGGACAAGGAAAGCACAGTTCTCCAAACCCAACTAAAATCCAAATGGCAATGCTAACTACACTACCAAGCAGCCTTACTGATTATTCATTCACACTGATGCAAGTTGAGCAAAAATCACCTCAAAGTTACAGATTTAGTTATTTGACAAATGCCGGTTCAGCACCTATGTGCCTAGCACTGTTAAAGGAGCAGTGGAGAAGCAGGGGACAAAATGAAGACCATACAATCCTCTGTAAGCTTATATTTCAGCAGGGGAGGCAGGCAAACCAACCAACCAAACAACCAACCAATGAAACTATCAACCAAAAATCCGATGGCAATAAATACTATGAAAAAAATTTTTTTAAATAAAATATATAACAGGATAAAGGGAACACAATGGAAGATCTCTCTGAAAAGACATTTGCGCAGAGATCTGATGGGCAAAGTGATGTGACTCAAGAGAGAAGGGATCTTTACATTCATGTCTATAATCTCTAGAGCCTAGACTCTGCTCTGGCATTGTTACGACGGTTTGTTTTAAAGCTTGTTGTATATAAGAATTGGTTCACTTATAAAAATTCTTAATTGGAAGAAGCAGAAAATAATAAAATGAAATCATTAGAGGTTACTGCCCATTGAAGAGCAATCAGAACTTTAGATAAGGTATTTGGGAAATAATGTAAGATTATGGGTAAAATGATTTGATTTACCAAAAGAAATACTTTTTATTTATACTAATGCTTCAAGAGCATAATTGCTTAAAAGCAGGACCACTTATAATTTCTATATGGTTGCCAAGTAGGGAGTATAACCTAATAAAGACAAATCAATGTGATATAAATTTTTAAATGAAAAAATTTTCTTTTATAATCGTGTGAGCCATTTTTGCCCAAGAGCAAAGGAATAATAAATAGCTGACACGATGTCTCACATGAAGCAGAGAATGAATTTTCTAAGTACAATACTACCATTTTAAGGATGAAGAATCCTTGAAAAGTGAATAAGCAAAATGCCACCTATTTAGGTTCTTTTAAATCATTATTTGGAATTCAATTTAAATCCAGATTTATTATTTGGATTTGCATAGAGCTCTTAATGTGGGGAAAAGCCGTTTAAAAATTAAAATAAGTTATCTTACAATTGTTCACATATTATTTTTGGATTACATAAACTCTAATACTTCAATCCTAAAGAATCTGAAATAAATAAGTAAAAATATTTGATCTTGTTCTAAAAAAAGACTTACGCTGAGAGCAGTCACTGCCGATCCAACCAGGGTAACATTGACAAGATCTGTCAATGGGGTTACAAGTTCCGTTGTTGGTACAGGTACAAATTCCTGCACAATTTTTCCCAAATCTGCCACTGGGACACACTGTGAATAAGTTATAAGTCAGTAACACAATTGCATCTCATATCACAGAACACTAGACGAGAAATGATTTTAAATAGCTGCCCATTTGATAGCTGTCTCTCCTCTCCAGCACCTCTCCTCTTGTATAGGCCTGTTTTTACAAAGACATGAAACCAGAAGCCCTCAGGAAGGCATCACAAATCAGTAGCCATCATCATTTCTAGAAATCTGACTTCCTGACTTCTCATTCAGGGAGTCAAAATCCTTCCTTATACTGACTTTTCATGGGAGGCTGTTTCCAATTAAAACTGAATTGCAGCATAGCTCAGAGAATAAAGAGATTTTGCTGGGGGTGACAAGCCAGTTTTCCCAAAGCTCAGAGTCATGTTTAGAGAAGTGTAAACACAGCATACGGGAAGGCTGGTAACTGAAAATCTGTCTTTTGAGAAGCCTGAGGACAGGTTCCATGTGGCTTGTTCATCATCACGTATCTCTCCAAAAATTCAGGTGACCCTTACCTTCATTGCAGAGGGCACCTGTGAAGCCAGGCAAGCAGTCACACAGGCCAGTGATGTGGTGGCAGGGCCCGCTGCTGTGCACACATTGTGGACAGGTCTGGCTGCAGCGATGTCCATAAAAACCAGGCGAGCAGACTGAAAATAGAATGGAAATGAACAGTTATCTTTCTGAGATAATTATCTCTCATATTCAACATCGGAATCTAGTTTAAGTTCTGGGTGACAAACATTTTTTTAATGATACTGAGAATTTTCCAAGTGTAAAATAACAACGAAAGCAACAAGGGCACTCTTTAATAATGAAAACTCTGATATGCTTGCGGGCAGGCACATGTTTTAGCTCTCTTAATTTTCTCATTTATGGTCCCAATTAACTTGAGGTTTGGCATAGAACAGAGGCTTGAAGAATTTTCACTGAAGAAATAAATGAAGTAAATAAAATCACAAATGCTAACAAGCCCCAAATAAATACTCTCAAACCATGTGTTGATCCTTTATTCTTTAGGAGTCATTACTGCAAGAAATAGATCTATAGTCAGAGTTAAAACACTGTTCCTCCTCGAAGTGGCCTTGCTAAATGATTGTGATTAAAAAGTGAAGAAGTAAAGTGCAATATAATTAGGTTCTTCCTGAGACATTATTTGGATTTAAATATAGAATGATTGCATAGAGCTCTTAATGAAAAAAAAAAGCAATTTAAAAATTAGAATGATGTATTTTATAATTAGCCATATGTTCTTTTCTTGATTACCTTTACTAAAAGATTGAGTAAAACCTCATAGATCATTTCCTAATTCAAATATTCTATTGACTAATGTCAACCACCCCACTTTTAATTCTGCAGCTCTGTTTCCCCTTAGCACCAACTTTAAGACTACTAGCAAGAGGTATGATTTGCCTGAAGGTCTGGCTAATGTTGACTTCTGGTAATTGAGGTAAGGCTAAAGCCAAAATTGCTGAATAAAATATTTACAGGTCAATGGATTTCTGGAACACCATTTGCAAGATTTAAGGCAGGATCAAAAAACATATTTTGATAATGATGCCAATGAGGCAATGAAATCATTACTGAGGAGAAATGGCAAAATCCCCATCTGTTAGGTGAGGCCTGAAGAGTGGAAAGAATAAATCTCTTGGGGAAGTGCTATTGAGGACAGTCCTGCAAAGGACAGAGTGACACACAGAGTGAAACTCATCTCTCAGCCTGGACTATGACAGAATATCACTACAAACTGAGGGTTGTGGCAGAAAATAATTCTGTACCAGCAGCCCTGAGAAGAGCAGATTGGAAACTGCCACCTAATGAAAAACACTTACTTCTCTGACAAGTGGTGCCGCGGAACCCTGGTGCACACTCACAGATGCCATCATCAGGGGAGCACGAAGCTCCATTTTTACAGTAGCAGGGCAAGGAGCAGTTGGGACCCCAGCGTCCCTCAGCACACACGCTGTCACAGTGGACACCTGAAACAATGCACAGGGGTAAGCGGGATAAGGGCTAAAGTCACAGTATCACAACAGTGAACAGGGGTGAATGAGGGGTAAAATTCACTTATCGTATACATCATCATATCACATATGATCATATGTCATAACATTAAAATAATTGCAGAAATATTTCTGGAAAAAATATTCCAGGGAAAAGGAGGAACAAATATCTTTGTTATACTTTCATATGCTGATTTTTCTCCTTTGGGAGGAGGAAGCAAAGGAAAAGCCCAAAGACTTTATTTAAAATTTATCAACAAAGCATGGCAGAAAGAAATCAAAGACAAAAAAATGGAGAATTATCGTGTGTTAAGAATAAAATAAAATAAAATTTATCAAAATAAAAATGTATTCCTTAGTCCTCAGCAATTTCCTACCTCCTTCTTTTCTTTGATTTTACACAGAAATGAGCAAAGTGTAAAGATAAGGTGAACCAAAAAGTAGTTAAATTGTTTTACAAAAACAAAATCTTCCTCCTGAGCAGGGAAACAAACACAGTCTAATGATATTTTATTGATACACTGTGCAGGACAGAATGGATAAACAGATAAATGAAGGCAGAATATCACAATGGATGCTATATATAGCCGTGGTCCAAGCTATTGATTGTCATGAAATTATACGTAGGTGTTTAACTCTCATTCTAGAAAAAGAGAAACTTTAGAGTCAGCCATGTGTGAACAAACACTTAAGGGAAATATAAAAATAACCCAAAATTGCAAAAAATAAAAATATAATCAGTTTTCATTTGAGATAAGTGGAAGTTTCTTATGCAAACTCGTATGTGAAATACAACAGGGGCCTCTTTCTTTTAAGTCAGAATTCTTCACATCTCAAAGAAATGCTCTTTGCATTGAGAAGCAATAAGAGTGAATTATAATTAGTAATGAACTAGCAACTGCTGGCCTCAGACCAACTGAAAACATGATAAGAACAAGAGCACACACACTCAAGGATTCCAGAACATTAACACCACCCAGCACTGAGGAGAGGCTGAGAAGGCTGAGTTTTGTATTACAGTTTAATTATAAATTGATTAGGAGAAAAGTTACCATGGCCTGAACTTTAAGATATAAGGACCCCCAAACTATAATGTGAACATTGCTAATTGGCATGCAGTCGTTTCTGCCAAACCATAATTCCACTTTTCGACTGTTCTGTTTTTTTCCTTCTGAAAGTCTCCCACATGGTAAAGGCTGCTAAACAGGCATGAAAGCGCACAGACCTCATTGTGTCTAGCTTGAATCCACAATAGGGTATTATTTTAGCTTGGCTGCTTGGCTGAAGGAGGGAGATTAGTTCTGTTATAAAGCTGATTGGAGTTTAAGTGTTCTACATAGTATTAAGCAGGGAATTTGGATCCATTATGATTTTCTTATTCATGAGTTCACAAATCTATGATTTTTTTTCCGATAACTTTTGAAATACAGAGATGGAATTGCAAACTCTGTAAATCTCCAAGTGTGATGTACCATCCAGATTCTTATCTGGTGTTTTTACTCACACCTATACAGATGGTTTCCACTACAGTGGTTTGACTTAAGGACTTTTTTGACTCTATGATGGTGTGAAAGTGAAACACAGTCATTAGAAATTATACTTTGAATTAGGAATTGGGACATTCCATTCTCAATTGCAGTATAATATTCAATAAATGAAATGAGTTATTCAGCACTTTATTATAAAATATGCTTTGTTTTAGATGATTTTGCCCAACTGTAGGTTAATGTAAGTGAGCGCATTTAAGGTAGGTTAGGCTAGCTGTGATGTTCACAAAGTAGGGTATGTTTGAATACATTATGATAATTTTAATTTATGATGGATTTATTAAGATGTAACCCATTGTAAGTTGAGGGAGAGCTGCATTAGGCAGAAGGAATGAACTGCTTTGGAAGGAGGCTGCAATCCTGAACATTGTTTTGTAGTTTCGGAAGAAGTACCAACAAGCTTATCTACCACAGGTTTTACTCTCTCTATAAATTAAGGGTGATGAAAATGGAAACAGTCTGCTACATAAAGATTCTGACACTACTGGTCATTTTGGCCTGAAGCCATTCAGGCAAATCCCACTTAGGACTTTAGAGAAGTTGAGTTATTATTTTGTTGATCTGAAAATCACACTGGAATCTAATGCTGATTTTGACACCTTTTTGTGGAGTGGGAGTCATTTTTGATGATTTTTTTTTTTATGAGCCACTTGCCAAATCTCTACTGCACATTACACTTAATAAAATGTAGTTAAGATGGATGGCGTACACTTTAGGCCAAAAAGTATATACTGCTTTTTAACATTACAGGTTATCGTGATGTATGAATGACTTAGCACACTGTCGGTGAGAGTATGTTCAGCAAATGACCGCAGGCCAGACTGGCAAATGTGGATAAAGTGATCTTTTATTTCATATGGGTTTCCTAATAGGTTTGCCCAGCTGGTTAGTACACCTATCAGTCATAATCAATTTTGTCCAGGTAATTTTCATAGAAGTAACAAGGGCCACGACATAGCAAGGAAATCTATTGCAACATAAGCTTGTTTCACATGATTTACCTATCATTTCATTTCCAGAGACTCACAGGAATTCTAAAGATCATCCATCAAACTTAGTCTCCAATCACATAAGCATGTTTCAACAGAACAAACTCAGTTTTAAGTAACTTTTAAGATTGCAGAGATGTCTTTTCTTGGGAAGTAAATTATAACAATTCTATTATAACTCTTGCCACAAAATGAGCCCTCTTTTATATTCTCTATCATCAATAAAAATGAGTCATTTTGAAGATATTACTGTCTAATCCATTTGAAGACAAAGTATGTCTCAGTCAGGGAGATTCCAGGGAAAAGCGTGAAGCTCTTTTTTCTTCCGGCTAAACCATTTTCTCCCATTTTTCTCTTTTCCTTCAGACCTCTGTATCTTCTTATTATCATTAGAAGATCTTATTATCATCCCCTTTATCTTATGATCAGGAAAGAATAAGATAAATTTATTATTACAGACGTGTTACTTTCCTTAGAGAATATTTCAATTTTAAGAGAATATTCATGTTGAGTCTAAGCGGGCCTCCCTGGTGGTGCAGGGGTTAAGGCAATGCACTATGAAGCAATCTGCAGCCTCTGCAGCACAAGTTTGATCCCCGGCTGGCCATGAAGGAATCCACATGGTGTAGCAGACCTCTCCTGTCTCGCCTGCTGCTCCCCCCTCAGCAGTGTATTTCACTCAGTCTGCCTGTTCTGTTCCCCACTCTGTCTCTGGTGAATCCTCTCACCCCCCACATTTCTGGCCTGTACCCCAGCTCTTGTATGCATAAATAAGTAAATCTTTTTAAAAAAGAGTCTAAGCAATAAATCTCTAATTGTGTAACTTCAAGCAGTAAGACTCATGGAGGGGGAGTCTGGGTAAATGCCCCTCAAGATCACACTAGCTATATGGCTTCTGATCACACTAGCTATATGGCTTCTTTATGCAAGGCCAATATGGCAGTGCAACTAAGTTTGCCTTAACCATTTTTGGCGGGGGGTGAGGGGCTGTATGTTTTTGTATATGTGTGTGATATTCCTCAATTATTTTCATTGATCTCATTCTGCTATTTGTCAACTTTGCAAGAGTCCATAACACATATTTTTATTTATTGCTTTGCTAAAGACAGAAAAGAGAATGCAACTAAATAAATGTTCAAAGGTCTATCAATTGCTGGCTGGTGGGTGAGAAGTTCTCTAAGAAAAACCTCGAACAACAGAGTGACAATGGCCCCAGAATAGACACATCAAACTGTGTCTGGGGGTCATGGTCAGGACAGGAGGTAGCTTGAGAAGTTGGTGGGGGATTCTGGACCAATGAATGATGAGTGCAAGGCTCAGAGACTCAAAGAGGTATTGATCCTTCAGGAATTTGAAGTATTGGAGGCAGCTGAAATTGGGACTGAAAAGAGTGGGAAAGGCATCTGGGTAGCCAAGCAGTAGACATGTAAAGAAGATCCAGGATGCTCAGGCTATGGAGTGTGAGCGTCTTTCTGGTGTTAAAGGGATCAAATATACAATGAAGAGGGGCATCATTAAATTTGTTTGCAGGAGGCTGGGAGGTGATTTGAAGAGGCTGGAAGAAAGTAAACCTGTTAGTGATGTTTTGGATTACCCTGGGAAAAAATGATCAAAATGGCAAGTTCTTGAACTAAATCACTTGCAGTTGGGATGCAGGGTAAGATGAATTCCAGAGAGAAATAGGAAAGAACACAGATGGAAGATATGTCACCCATACTACACCCAGGCAACTCCACGAGGACACGACGGTGCCTGATTTTCCTCTACAGCATCAGGTACATGGAGGATGTCAAAAAAATTAGTTGTTGAATAAATCAATAAGCACAGGCCTTCTTTCCTACATGATATTTGGGACCATTTTCCAACTGGATGGATCAACCTTGCCATTTTTTATTTCCCTGATGAAGTGACAAGAAGTGCCCTCAAACCAGGAATCACAACATATATTTTATGCACCTACCATGGTAATCCTTCTCAGCTATGGGGATGGAGATGTCTGTCTGGCTTATATTGCAGAAATAGGCTTTCACGAGTTTAGGTCTGCTTTTTTAATATGCTGTCCCAGATTACCGAGCAATAGAAGAATTACAAGACATCTTGGGGAAATTCTTTTGGCATGTTTATCAAAGAGTAGACCAAAGCTTTAATATGAGTTACTTCAGGAAACAACTTCCTCAAAGGGGATATCTTTAATTTTGCAGGAATCCTCTGCTTCAATGGAAGCATTTTTTTCCCTGATAAATGTTCTAAGGCTGATAAGGAGATCTGTGAGGGGCTGTTTTTGCCAGGACTGAGGACAAAGGGCTCTTTGATAGCCTCTACAAGTTGCTAGGCAATGGCTGAATGATCGTGATAAACTTCAGCTAAGCAGCTCTAAAGAAATGTTCATGCATTTAATGCCTGATGCATTATGCCAGTGGCCTCAATGTGAAATCAGCAT